GATGATGATAATGATTATCCCTAGACTCAGCAAATTTCATGAAACACCTGATTTATGGATATTTCACCCAATTCACCCACAATGGGTGGGATTTATGGGGATTTTGCCTGCCATTGGGATTGAAGAGTAAGAGCCCTGGAAGGTTTCTTTTTTTGGCTGTTGAGCCTGAAATACACATCCTGGACATGGTTTTGTTCATTCTTTTCTGGCACAAAACGGTTTTGGAAGCCTGGTTAGTCCACTTTTCAGGTGGCTCGCTATGAAAGGGGGACGTCCTCAGGGAAAATAGACCAATAGACGAGACAGATCCCGAATGATGGCACTGAATGATACGAAAACGATTCCAACCACCATGCCTCGATCCATTCGTGCAAGTCTGTCTGTGACTCTGACACCTGTTCTAGGTGATGATGATGATGATGATTATGATGATGATGATGATGACGATGACGACGGTGACTAGGAGGAGGAGGAGGACGACGACGACGACGACAACGACGAGGACGACGACGAGGACGACGACGAGGAGGACGACGATGACGACGAGGACGACGACGAGGAGGACAACGAGGACGACGACGGGGAGGACGACGAGGAGGACGACGAGGAGGACGAGGAGGAGGACGACGAGGAGGAAGACGACGAGGAGGACGACGAGGACGACGACGAGGAGGACGACGAGGAGGACGACGAGGACGACGACGAGGACGACGACGAGGACGACGACGACGACGAGGACGACGACGAGGACGACGACGATGACGACGACGAGGACGAGGACGAGGACGACGACGATGACGACGATGAGGACGACGAGGACGACGTCGAGGATGACGATGATGATGATGATGATGATGATGATGATGCTGATGCTGATGCCGATGCTGATGCTGATTCTTCTGCTTCTGATGCTGATGCTGTTTGCTGCTGCTGCTGCTGATGGTGATGATGATGATGATGATGATGATGATGATGAAGATGATGATGATGATGATGATGGTGATGATGATGATGATGATGATGATGATGATGTTGACGACGACGACGATGATGATTATGATGATGATGATGATGAGGACGACGAGGACGATGACGACGATGACGATGACGACGACGATGACGATTATGATGTGGTAGCGGTTGTGGTTGTGGTTGTTGGTGCTACTCACCATGCTGCTGACGCTGATGTTTGTGCTGCTGATGATCATGATGCGGAAGATGATGCCCAACCAGTTGTGTTGGTTTTCTCCTGGTTCTCCGAAATTGGCCTTGTGGGCTGCTGCCGCACTTCCAGGCCTACAATGGCGAGTATGTCAGCTATTACGCCGGTGGCTCAGGGTGAAATGCTTGCCCGGCAGTGCCCAAAAGACAATCACAATCTGATGAGGAAGACTTCCATCTTCCGGGGGCTGGCCCCTGATTGAATGGGAGTTCAAACCCTGATCAGCGTTCTACATGGTTCTGATTCTACTTCATGTGGTTGCACTGAGATTCTTCTAGGATTCTATGCCAATAATCGAAATCCCTATCAGTCCATTCAGACATAAATTATACTGATACTTTCAGAATATACAGGCAGGTTTTCAGACTTAATAATATACAAGCAGGTTTTCAGACTTAAAATGGGAAGTCAGTTTCTCTTGCTGGATTAATAGTAGTTCAGATGCTTTAAACGGAAGTAGTGTGCCATACAACGCAACATTTTTGTTTTTTTTGGGTATGTTTCCTTCCATAGGCCCAAGCATGTGGCAGGTTCACTTGAGGCAGCTGATTTTTTCCCTCATTTCTCACCCAAGGTAGGTGTCCTGAAGACTTTTAATGCCAAGAATGGATACGGCTTCGTTGAGCTTGGCGAACCCAGTGGGCAGTGGGATTGGGGTTTTCTTGCCTTCACAAGGAACATCATCTAAGGATGAAGTCAAGCGAGAAGTGCCCAAATTCCAATCGGATCCGCCAGGTAGAAGACAAGAAACGAGTGATACATACTGATACTAAGCAGCTATGTATACATATATATAATATATAATATATAATATATAATATATAATATATAATATATAATATATAATATATAATATATAATATGTAATATATAATATACAATATATAATATATAATATATAATATATAATATATAGTATATAATATATAATATATAATATATAATATATAATATTTAATATTTAATATATAATATATTATATATAATATATAATATATAATATATAATATATAATATTTAATATATAATATATAATATAATATAATACAATATAATATAATATAATACGATATGATATGATATAATATGATATAACATAATATAATATAATTTAATATGATATGATATGTTATGATATGATATATGATATATTTTAATATAATATGATATGATATATGATATATGATATATGACATATGATATATGATATGATATGATATGTGATATATGATATTTGATATATGATATATGATATATGATATGATATGATATAATATATAATTTAATATAATATAGTTTTATACAATACATATTATTATATACAATATAATATAATATAATAAAATATAATATAATATAATATATATTTTTTTATTACTGTATATATTTTAATTCAATATAATAAAATGTAATACATAATATAAATTAATATAATTTAATATTATATGATTTTATATAATATATTTTTTGTATACAATATAATATAATAAGATCTAATATAGTACAATATGATGTAATGTGATATAATATAATATGATAAAATGTGATGTAATATATTATAATATGATAAAATATAATATAACATGATATAACATAATATAATACAATATAATGTAATATAATATAATATAAGATGTAATAGATACTAGATACTATGTAATGTATAATAGATAATATATAATATGTAATATATATATAATATGTAACATATAGTATATGATATATAATATGTAATATATTTTATATAATATATATAAATTTATTTTTATTTTCTAATATTTAATATTTAATATATAATATATAATATGTAATACATATACATGTACATATATCGGTATGGGCACCTCTTTTTCATAAACTCTTCAACCAGCCAGTGGTGATGAACTTCAGCCCCGATGAAAATCTGTACTTCCAACGATGGTCCGGAAGGTGGTTGCCACCACTGCAGTTGCGCTGGGAAATTGGCCTACGATAGATCCGACCGCGAATGAGTTTTGGGTGATCCGACCAGGTTTTTTGATCCCATCGCCCGTTCATATTAGTTACACCCCCCAGAAAACCATCGCTTTTGGTGGGGATATCACATGCAAAAAGGGTACCATAATCGTCTATGGCTCCAGCCATCGGAAACTTTTTTCCCCTTTTTTCCCCAGGTGTAAGGGGGCCTCCAGTGATGTTTGTTGGTTTATAAACCCCATTAACCATAGTTATCTATAGATATATAGTTATATCTACCATAAACAATAGAATTCAGCCACAAAAATGAGGCACCTGAACGCTATCTAACTGGGGTCCCATCCTGCAGGTGTAAGCAGGCCAAAGAGGATTGGGGCGTTGACGTGCGCGGAGCCAGTCGACAAGTTACGACAAGTTGTCGCGAGTCGCCGGACCTGCTGATGGCACACTTTCAATCGCCATATTTTACATGGACCAATAATTGATACCTAATGTGGATAAAACAATCATAAACCATTATCACCATTTTCATAGGTGGTATGTAAAAACCATTCCCAGTGGGTGGTTTATATATTGTTTTACCAACATTATCAATCATCATTAACCATTAACCATATATATATAGCTATAGATTATTACTATTGACCATATATTGTTTACCACATGTTTATAACATCTATTTTTACAGGCCATGTGATGTCAAAGATATGTAGCTGAAATGGATGACTGACCTCCACCATGCGATGTGAGCAGCTGATCTGTCAGGGATCTGTATCATGGTTTTGTGGCAATTATAGATTAGGACTTAGATTATATAACTTAGATGTGTTATGATGACTTCAAATTTCAGTTTTGGTTTCTTGTTCATGACAATCTTTTTGGGGTTTCTGTTTCATTCCTTGTTTCACTCGATTTGCCTTCAATGCGCAGAAGTACCAGTGCCGTGTTGGATTGGTCAGTTCACTCTTGGGTTGATGTTGGGAGATTTTTTGGCGATTTACTTGCTGAATTACCCTCCAGGAATTTAGCGGTTTACTATCAAAAATGCCCCAGTAAACGGATGATTTATCTAAATCTAGCCATTAAATATTATGATTTTCTGAATCTCCCAACTTTGACACATGCAAAAAATACACATTTATCTGGGTAAAACAATGCCATGAACCATCCATGACTGGGAATGGTAAACATACCAGCTATCAAAATGGTCATGACTGTGGGATGGTTTATGATTGTTTTACCCACAATTTCAAGCACCAATCAGGACACTGGCGCAATCATTGTCCATGTTTTAGCCTGCCACAGGTATTTGTTCACAAAAATAACGTTCCAACACCCTGGACGCTTGGGCAGGCCGCGGATGGGATGACATTCAAATTGATCCATGGTTTTTCAAACCATGGATGGTAACTATTCACCATCCCATCACCAAATTCAAATTCACCAAGATTGACTGGATATAAACATATATAAGCAGGAATTGGATGATATTACCTGGCTTAAACCACCAATTGAATCAATTGACTATTTTTCTTGGTCACAACATAATGACTGGTTGAGATTCGGTGAATGACCACGGCTGTGATGTCCCAGTTGAGAATCTATCCAAGCGACCGGGGGCACTAAACACTTTTAGTTCCTGGTGCACACTTCAAAGAAATTGACCGGCAACATGATAGGTTCGTATGATATGCGGAGGTGTTTACTATTTGGTAAACGTATCTTGGATTTGTCTGGAGAAGTTGTTTGGCAGAAGTCATTTTGCATAGCCGTTCGATTCAACTCAGACAAGGAACAAGCAATAATTGTCCATCTACATCATCTACATCCATGAAAATCTCCAAGTGGATGGGCGCCCCCCACGCTGGTCGTCGTTTTTCCCGGGTTCCATCTGCCGCAGCCTGTGGAATTTGCAGTGCAAGTGAATCTCAAGGGCCAACCACAGGCAGTGCCGTTCGCGGGTTCTGGTGACTTGGGGGATAGCCTCTGGTCAACTTTCACATAACTATGGAAAATCACCATTTTTAATGGGTAAATCAACTATTTCTATGGCAATTTTCAATAGCTTTTTTCAAGTAGCAACCAGACTGTGTACTAATAGCGTATAAAATCTACAGCGTATAAATGCTACTAAGAGCTATTAGTGACTCAATTTGACGCGGTGATTCCATCAGGATGCTTTTTCACAATTCTTGGTGATTTGACCAAAGAATCTGGGTCTGTCAAAGCTGATGTGACCAGCCGACGCTTCAAATGGTGAGCCGTATTTTTCCCATCTGAAACAGAAGTTGGCATCACATTCTGTCCACATTTAAGATGCAGTTGGCATCACGAGTTTGGTCCAGATGGGTGTTTCTGGGAGGATCCCAACCGCGTCGATTTTGATGATGAAACTCCATCCATCCTCGAAATCCGATTGTTGAGTACTGGCTCTATGAATTGAGGTCCCAAACATTGGATTGGATTAAACAACTTACGACCCGTATTCCCATTATTGTTGAGTTCAGTCCAGATTTTTGAGGCTATTAAACCACGATTTATTGATGATTAATCGATTTTTGATGGTTAGATCATGTTAGATCTCCATTTTTGATGGTTAAATCAGTTTAAATCCGCACTTTTGATGGTAAAATCATGGTAAACATCCACATTTTTCGGTTTAAATCTCCATTTTCCTCAAGGCTTATGACTGCAATTGGCTGCCTCGCTTGCCGCAGACCAACGCGGAAGCTCAGCTGAAAGAACGCTTTGAACGTTGATCATTGTGGCAAGCAGTGATTGTGAATGGTAAAAGTCATATTTTTGTGCTGAAAAATCCCAAGTATTGGTTTATAAAGAAACATATCTACTGACTGACCGTCCAATTTCCGGGTAAAAGTGGTAGAAGAGTTGTGTTGGTAACATCCACATTTGCGTTGATGAACATCCAATGTTTTTGGGTCGCAGCCACATTTTGCTGGGTATACATATCCTTAGGGAGTGCTTTTTTTTTTCTCCGTTTTTTTTTGTTTACCAACCTTGCTTTTGTGGCTTCTGTGGCTTCTGTGGCTTTTGTCGGTGTGTGGCTTTTGCGGCTTTACCATGCTTTGCCTATCTATCTAGCTATCTAATCTAATCTATAATCTATATAATCTAATCTTATCTGATTTTATCTTATTTTATCTTAGCTTATCTTATCTATCCAATCTATCTAAAGTATCTATCTACCTATCTATCTATCTATCTACCTACCTACCTATCTATCTATATATCTATCTTTATATATATATATATACACACACACACCTTGTATCCCTACATGTACCTTAATCCAACCCCCAACAGACTTTAAATAGATCCTAAACCAACCCTAAATTAGTACTAAATAACCCCAAATAAACCCTAAACCAACCCTACATTAACCTTAAATAAACCTTGAACCAACCTAGAGATACCCTAAAAGAACCAGACATAACCAACCCTATATAAACCCTAAACCAACCCTAAATAACCCTAAACTAACCCTAAATAAACACTGAACCAACCCTAAATAAACCCTAAACCAACCCTAAATAACCATAAATAAAGCCTAAACCAACGCTAAATAAAGCCTAAACCAACCCTAAATAACCCTGAATGAACCCTAAACCAACACTAAATAAACCTTAAACCAACCCTAAACCCACCAACATTATGATAGCATCCAATGCCACTATTTAGACCCAACAGGGTTGTGCTTCAACCTATATTCTACATGTTCACCAGGTGCATGTTATGCAGGCAAAAGCGATTGAAACCATGGAAAAGTCAATTGTAACCATGGAAAACTCAGTGAAAACCATGGAAATATCGGTGAACACTTTGGGTAAATCAATGAACACCATGGAAAAGTCGAGTAAAACCATGGAAAAGTCGATGAACAGTACAAATGGCAAATTTTAGCTCCAAAATTCAGCGAAGTACAGGTTTTTGCTCCAAAATGTAGCAAATAGCAAGGAAAAGTGCCCCAGACTGAAAAACAAAAAAAATCCAAAAGAAAACCCCAAAAAAATCTGCACCCTATCCTTAGAGTGGTTCAATTCACAAGTTTAGTGGTTCAGTCCACGTTGCACATCCCAAGACGATCATTCTGGCGCCGTGCGCATCAATTTAGCTGCTGCTTTCCAGCAGGGTAAACCTCCGGTTCAGCGCCAAGGTTACCCCTGGGACCACGTGCCTGGGCTGGAGATTGTACGAAGCAACAATGGGGACCATCGGAAATGTGTCTGTGAGCATCACAAATTCGAAACTAGGATTTGACCAGCAATAATCAAGATTTAGGCGGGAAAGAACCAGATTTTTCCTTGCATTGAGCAAGGTTGCAGAACGCAAGGGAATAGATTATTAGTCGTGCGAGAAGATTCAGGGTTTTGCATTCACCGAAAAGCGAATCTGTGCACATCCAGGTGGTCATTTTTCGAAATTTATATCAGTCTGTTCAGTTTCCCAGAATTGGTGGAAGGTTGAAGGGAAAACCATGGTTTCCGGGTTTCCCCTATATGGCAGTGTGTCAAAACCTTGTACCCCTGGTGAACATCAAAATAGCTGGTAAATGGATGTTCATTCCCCTAAAAATGGTATTAATAGGTATTGATCCATAGCCATATTTGGATGCAACAACCGGCTGGTTTTTTCGCGACACCTGGTTTTTCTAACCAATCCGTTCTGGTTGATCAAAAGGGTCCCCGTTGGGCCAAGTTGGGTTGGTTGATGTTAAATATGAAATATATGAACTACAGTAGCCATTGGCTTCAAGCCATATAGCCATTTAACTACAGTAGCCATTGGCTTCAAGCCATATAGCCAGTTAACTACAGTAGCCATTGGCTTCAAGCCATATAGCCATTTAACTACAGTAGCCATTGGCTTCAAGCCATATAGCCATTTAAATTCATTGAAATATGAAATATATATATGAACTAAATATATGACTATCTTTCTTGGGAACAGTTCGCCATTTTCCCCAAACAACCAGCCGCCATGGTCTTCCCGGATTTTCCGGTCTCCGCAGGCCTGGGTTGCCAGGAAAGGGCTCGGCAGCTTAGATGCCGAGGGGTGTCTTGTCTTTTGTCGACTTTATATATGGAATCTATAATGTATAAAGTGGAATCTGTATGATGTCTATCCATGATACTGTTTATGGAATCTATCATGGAATCTATAATGTACAAAGTGTCTTTATGGAATCTATAATGTTTAGATTCTTGAATTTTAGACTATACAGACTATAAGATGATGTTTTCCAAACAAGATTCCAGGTTTCCACCTTTTCTAGAAATCTTTTTTGGCGGTTTCAAAAGTTTTCAAACTGTTGGACGCCTGGAAATTATACGGTATTATCGAACTAGGATCCTGCAAAAAACCGGTCAACATTTTTTCTTGACCCCCATAATACATACTGGTCATGTGTCTGGAAAGTTTTGTTTCTGGGTAGGATGGTTGGAAAGCCAATGTCGAGATTTGAGCGATCCAAAAGTAGACCGACTGATGCGCGATGTTGTTTTTTGTTTTTTGCATTTTCCATGTTTTCTAACAAAAAAAATCTTTCCGATTTTTTTTGGGAAAGTTGCCATTTTTCTTTCAAACTGTTTGTTAGTTATGCCGAGGCCGGGCTCAACAAGGCCCTGGATCTGCCCCTGGATCTGCCCCTGGATCTGGCCCTGTATCTGCGGTCTGGGGACTTGGCGGTTTGACCCGGCCTGGTCAACATAGGAAAAACGATGGAAAGATCCACCATTTTCATAGGGAAATCAACTATTTCTATGGAAAACATACAAAAATATATATGGAAAATCCACCAATTTTCAATGGGTAAATCCACTATTTCGACTGGGCCATGGCTTCAATAGCAAACTGTAACAAATTACCAGAGGGTATTATGGACAGTATGGGAGATGTTGGAAGATCTTTTCACCTAAAGTTTTTTCCTCGCTCTTGTAATGTGTTTTTTCGTGCGTGGTTAACCTGGTTGCTGTGTTTTCGACAAGTCGGGGTTCCCATTTGATCCACTTGCAGTGGAGATATAGCCTCTGGTAATTTTTCACATATATAGCTATTGAAATGGGTGTTTTCACCAGCAAAGACGATGATGATTTATGATGAAACATGAGGAATTCATCAGCAAAAATGGATGAAACAGTGGTTTGAAAAAAACAACCCTTAAATGGGTGATTTCGACTGCGGTTTCACAACAGCAAAAATGGAGTTCAGTGGGATTTAAAAATTTGCTGTGGAAAATACAGCCCATTTATATAGTTCGATGATTTGCTGTTTGGTGATTTTCCACTGCTATGTGGGTCATTACCAGAGGGTACAATTCCCTCAGATTTCTGTTTACTGCAAATGGGTGGCAGAAATTATTCCCCAGTGGTAGCTTAGTTTCTTAGTCTTAGTGGAATTACCACAACTAATTTGTACAGGAATTGATCTGCCTAAGCGCGCGAGACTATCCAATGCGGTGGAATGGAAAAAAGTACGTCACACTGCCATAAACCATCCTTGATGACTCATTGACACCACTGTCAAAGACAAAACTGCCTCGAATGGGTGCCTAGGCCGGTGCGCAGGCAGCTGCCTCGGACAAGCCCGAAGAGGAAACACTGTGCGAAGCCCAGCTTTGGCCAAAAAACATCGCCACTGCTCTGCTCGCAGCCAGGTCCAATGAACCTCGAAGGCTGGGGACCCTGAAGAGTTTTTCTTCGCAACACGGTTGGGGCCTCGATGACCAACACGAAGATGATGAGGACACCCTGTTTTTTTTTCCTACGGTGTTGGCACTGGAATCTTGGTTTTCAAAGCCAGGGTGTTCTTGCTAGGTGGTATTCAAGGGTTTGAACATGCACATGTTCAGAAAGAAATCCTTCCACTTCCGGCAGAGAAGTTGTGAGAGCTGGATCAGCCCAAAATCGCTGTAACTCTTGGAGAACAAATTTCCGGGCCCTGGAAACTAATCTGGGTCATTTTACAGCAGATCTTCGAGTCTTCCGAAGGTTTTGAGGAGGTCATGTCAGTTTCAAGCTCTGGAGGTTATGGCTTCATTTCCTGCCCCGAGACCAATCAGGCTGGGGCTTGAGGTCGATCCCATCCCAATCAGTCAATCAAGAGATCCAGGACCCAAGACATTCCAAGACGTAGACAAGGGTTTTGGCATGCTCTTGCATTTTTTGTTGGGGGAACTTTGACTTTTTGGATGCAGCTGTAGGTTTGACACCCTCCCAGGGCCCCCCAACGCGGCATGGTCCAGGCATACAAAAGGGATGTCTACCTGGACAAAAGCCAAGTGGGCGAAAGTGGGCGCCCTCAGCTCGCGTTGCACGTATCCACAAAACCTCGTTTCTGAGGTGAAGCTGGCAGGTCGATGTTGGGTCCAAGCCAAGCCCACACGTGATTTTTCCGACACCAGGTTGGCAGTGGAATCAACTCCTGGAATTCTCCGTCTCCTTTAACGAGCGGGGGCAACCGCAGGCGGGACAGGTTGAAGTCAGCAACTCACCTCCAAGGTCGGGAGTGAGAGATCTCTGTCCGTGGGTCTCCGAGAATGCTGTAATCCAATAGTCCAACCTGGCAGATGAGTGAAACGCGAATCGCAGGATAGGAAAAGCCATCCATTTCAGCATCATCCCGGATGATTTCCCACCGGTCCAGGCAAGGCATGTGAATTGGGACCCAGTTCCGTGTGGGACCTTAGGACCCAGTCCCCCACACGGCACCTTGGGCATCCAAAAATGGATAGTTGCAGACTTGAATCTTTCCAAATCAAAGTAACATCAAATTCAGTAGCCTCTAGTAATTGTTTTTGCACTGGGGGAATTTTCCATAGCTCAGTTTCAGTTTACCAGAGGATAGACTTATTGGATCTATCTGGATCTTGGAAATCTTACTGGTGAATGGTTCCATTCTGGTTCTGCTCTGCTCCAGCTATGGTCATGGTATCGCCCTTAAGGCTCATCGGCACAGACGCCCGTGATGTGAAGAGGACGGTCTGGGTGACGGTCTGAGGCTTGAGGCTGCATCAAGGCCTAGAGATTTTTTGGGGTTGTTGTTTTTTTTTTTTTCCATGGGAGAAAGTAACATTGGGAATTTTGCCAAACAATGGGGCATCTAACCATGAACTCGAGTTCGAGAACTGGATGATCTGGATGCAGGTGAAGTGTTGGACAAATGGAGTTCTGATGTCAGTGTCTGGATGCGTTCTCTTTGTGATTCTTTACTCATTGGATATGATGTAATATAAATAAACAAATAAATATATAATATATATATATAAATAAACAAATAATACATAGATGGATCGATCGATCGATCGATCGATAGATAGATAGATAGATATAAATAAATGATAAATATACATGGCATATTATATGTATGTGCAATATCACAGATGGCATCATATAGTATCTGCAGTTCTCAAGCCTCTTTTTTGATCCCAAATTGGACCTCGACACCAGGAATTTCGCCCCGAAGACCCTTGACCAGCTGAAGCGGCTCTTAAAGCCGGGAAGTCCATGGGCTCCTGGTTGCCGGAATCTCCCTATGGACCCCAAGCAATTGTCGAAATGAGGTCCCCCCAACATTTTTAAACGGTGGATACTAAGAATGTGCCTGTGCTCCGTGGGTCAAAACGGGCCTTAAATTTTGAACCCAAATGATGTTTTTCTTCGTTGACTCCTCATCCCATCCAAGCATCATCCCAGATCAAGCTAATTCTGAAAGAAAGTATTGATCCGTGGCTACTAGCTACCCTCTGATAAATTCAATATAGCTATGGAAAATAGTCATTTTCATATATTATATGTAAATCTATACATGGGCAATTTTTCATAGCTATGTTAAATTACCAGAGCGTGCGACATGTCTGAACCATTTCTTAATTACCAGGCAAGTCCACTGAAAAATTGAGTTGAGAACTGCAGCTACATAACCCATATCTCCAGGACACTTGGAGCTGAATCAATTTCATTTCTTCATTATTTTTAGATATCCCTACAGGTTCAATGTCCATTTGTGAGGCTTGATGCTACATCCCTATTTCGAATGGTAAAAGCCCTATTTTTCATCGTCAAATCCCCTGTCTTGATCGTCAAATTTCAGTTCTCGATGCCTAAACCACCATCATTGTTGGTTAAATCCCAATTTTCGTTGCTTAAACCACCATTCTTTAAGTTACCAACACGTTTTGGTCCCAGTCCTATCTCTGTCGTTCTCGTTCTCCTGTCGTTTTTTGTGAACTTCCGAGGCTGCTGCATGAGAAGAATAACGAGACGGCGGTGGTCACAGCCATCGACTTGCTGGGGCCCGTGTTTGGATCATCTCCCGAATGGGAAACCATTGGTTTTCCACATCGTAAACGTTTACCCGAATGGGTAACTGGTTCTTACTGGGATCGTTTATGGGAGTTTATGGGATAGCAAGCGGTTGTGAATCAATTCCCCTAGTTTTTTTAAAAATGTGGTGATCTAAATGGTTTCAGCGCAGAAGTTGATCGTAAAATTTGGTTAAATGGTTATGATATGTTATGGTCATGATCCATTTTTCCTGACTTTTGAAGAGCGCGTTTGGAACGCTGAAGCTGGATGTGTGTGATTTTGGTAGGGTTTGGTAGCTGAACATGGTGGAAGAATTTTTTCCTGTGGCCGTGGATGGCTTTTATTTCCATGGGGAAGTGATGATCAAGCGCAGGGACACGACAAGCATGAGGATTGTTTCTGGCCATTTTCTGGGCTCCAGTACCCGCAAAAAAGATAGAATCGTACATGCCTACTAAAACAGGCCTTACATGGTGATACTACAAGCGTACGGGAATGTTTTAGTATGTTACACCCTCTGGTAAACTAACATAGATATGGAAAATAACCATCTTTAATAGGTAAATCAACTATAAATCTGCCATTTTCAATAGCTATGTCAAACATGGTTAAACTACCAGAGGGTAGTTATCGTGGTGAATGTACCCCGGCCACTTCCGGGCTTTCTGAGGCAGGGCGGGTCGGGAGCAGAGCAAAGTCAGGACGAGCCAAATGGGATGGGAACGCGCTAGTGGTGCAGCTATGGCAGCTATGGAAAAAAACCGGGTTTCCATGGTTTCCATCATCCAGTTACCAGTTTTTCCATGTTTTTCCGCTTCAAAATGACCCAGTTCAGTGCCATCCGAAATTCTGGAGAGACATCGAAGCGTTTTTTTGGTGCGGTTTCTGACTCTGCAGCATGAACATCTGAGGATTTTTGGGAAATTCGGGTGGACTCAGGGACACTATCTATCCATGCATCCATGGATGCCGGGAGTAGATAAAACATGGACTTTGCAAGATAGCCACGAAAGTGAGAATAAGAGTTCATGGAACATCTCCATATTATCGAAGGAAGTTTAGAAGTCAAACTTCCGACAATATGGACAGATGAAAAGCAGAGCAGGGCAGAGGCAGAGAGAAGAGGAAGATTAGAAGAGAGAAGATCAGAAGAGAAAGAGTAAGAAGACAGAAGATACAGATGCGCGAAAAGGTAGGAAAGTCGCGAAACACTGTGTTTTTCCAATGATTTGTGGCTCCGCAGGGTCGAAAAGTAGGCTCGCTAAAGCGGCGGCTGGCCACAGGAGCGATGAAAAATTGCACGCCGTTGTGGCGCGAAGCACATTTCCAAGTCAAAATGTACAAAACACCTCAGCGTCGGACCACTTTTAGAAGTTGCGATGTCGAAAAAGTGCACGCCGTTGTGGCGCGAAGCACATTTCCAAGTCAAAATGTACAAAACACACCAGGTTCGGACCACTTTTGGAAGTTGCGATGTCGAAAAAGTGCACGCCGTTGTGGCGCGAAGCACATTTCCAAGTCAAAATGTACAAAACACACCAGGTTCGGACCACTTTTGGAAGTTGAGATGTCGAAAAAGTGCACGCCACTGTGGCGCGAAGCAGATTTCCAAGTCAAAAGTGTTAAAGACTGACGGTCTCGGACCACTTTTGGAGGTTCAGATGTCGAAAAAGTGTCAAAAAAGTGCACGCCGTTGTGGTGCGAAGCACATTTCGAAGTTAAAAGTGTAAAAAACTGAGGGTTTTGAGCCTTTTTTGACGTGAAGATGTCGAAAAAGTAGACACTGATTAACTTAACTAACTTGACTAACTTAACTAACTTCACTCAATTAAGTACCCTAACTTCGACGACAACAGCAACAGCAACAGCAACAGCAACAGCAACAGCAACAGCAACAACAACAACAACAACCACAACAACAACAACAACAGCAACAACAACAACAACAACAACCACAACCACAACCACAACAACTACAACTACAACTACAACTACAACAACAATAGATCGATAGATGGAGAGAGAGAGAGAGATAGATAGATAGATAGATAGATAGACAGACAGACAGACAGACAGATAGATAGATAGATAAATACATCGATAGATGCATAGATCGATACATGGAGAGACAGATAGATACATAGAGAGATAGGAGAGATAGATAGAGAGAGAGAGATAGATAGATAGGTCGATAGATAGATAGATAGATCGATAGATAGATAGACAGATAGATAGGCACATAGATAGGTCGATAGATAGATAGACACATAGATAGATACATAGATAGACGGACAGACAGATCGATAGATAAATAGATAGATCGATAGACGGACAGATAGATAAATAGACAGATAGACAGGTAGACAGCTAGACAGCTAGACAGATAGACCGATGAAAGAGAGAGAGAGAGAGAGATAGATAGATAGACAGGTAGACAGCTAGACAGATGACAGATACAGAGATAGAGAGAGAAAAAGAGAGAAAGAGAGAGAAAGAGAGAGAGAAAGAGAGGAGACCTCAAGCACCTTTCGGTCCATCAGTGGCTTCGCTCTGCCATCCCTGATTCACAACAACCAATTTCTCCTATAGGTTTCCTATTTTTGAAACTTCCGCCACCGCCTTGTGCGGTACTGCTGGTATATATATATATATATTACCATACGGAATCCAGTGGTTCGGAGGGAGCGGCTCGGACACTCGGAGCTAAGGGGTGTCTATATTTTCAACAAAAAATGGAGGCTCCAAAGCACATGATGGCATATTTTATCCACTTAAGAGGAGAATTAAAGAATGTCATTATGTGGGTAAGCGAATGCCAAAGCTACCATTTGGGGATGGTTTTCTTCCACCGAAAAAAAATGATGATGATTTCTTGCATTTTGAGGCAATCCTCAACGGTAAATGAATGGCTTCCTGTCACTTCCAGGAGGATCCAGATGTGGATTACCTCTTCTTTGTGCACGACGACACAGGGACGGGATGGCTCAAACCATGGTGGACTGACCAACATCGATATAGATATCTCTACCATATCATAGCTAAGCCAGTTATGAACCAACAGAATGCTCATCCAAAACCAGTTTGTGGATCGGAATGGATCGTAGATTTTGCCAATTTATGGTGCCTCTTGGAAAACAATGCGCAGTGCATGCACGTAGGTCTACACAGATGCATAAATGTATAGCTATTATCAACGTAGACCCTATTACAAGTACCCCTTAGAACAGTGTTTTTCCTCATAATTTGAGCACTTTTAACATTTTTTTTTGGGATATTTGAAGGCCTAGGTATATATTTAAGCCTTACTTCAAGGACTCCTTGATTTTTCTTGCGTTCATCCTCCCTCCCTTTGTGAATTCCTTCCATGATTGCCGAACAAGAATGCCCACGTTTGTTGCTTGACATCAGTTGACATACATTTTTGTCTTGGTTAAGGCAAACATTTCAAAATTGATGTGTAGTTAAACATGTTGACGCTTCCAATCTTTTTGTGCAGTGTTAGTAAAGCAATAATTAATAATTAATCAACCACCCATACTTTGATACCCATTTATGGTGGTTTACTATTGCTTGAGCCACATATAAAGCCGCCCCTGAGGCTGGACCGCTTCAGCAGCAAGGCACCATGGGCATTTTGGGAGGGGAAACATTGGAAACATCAGACAATTCGATGATCGGCGAGTTGATCAATTTGATCATGTTCACATGGGCATTTCTTGAGGAATTTTAATGGGGGTCTGAGGCAAAGATCGAAATGGGAATGGTCAAAAGATGGTTTTTGGCAGGAAGAAACCATCAAGAGCATCAAGGCGGGCGGATTTTTCTTGGATCATTTGAAACCCTGCCAGAAACCATGGGAATATGGCAACAAGTGCTAGGTCCCAACATACTTCCTATTTTCATGAGCCAGTTGGAGCTACTTTCCTTGAGTTCCCACATGATAGAAACAGGATGAAACAGGTTTCACTCAAAAACTCAGCCGAGTTCGAACATTCCCCGCGAGCTGCGAGGATTTCGTGAAGATGCTGTTTGTCCTGATGTTGTCGCGCACACTCAAGTGCGACGTCCTAGGGACGCCGCTGGGATGCGTGTTCTTTTGGGCGGATGATCAAATCCCACGAAAATAGTGGTAAATTACTTTTTGATATTTTTGTTTTTTTTTTGGGTGTTAATTACCATTTTCAAAACGGTCTTCTTGTTGATTTGGGGACCATGATCATTTGCGCAGATGATGGATCGAATGAATCGTAAATGCAGATGTATCAGGTGTCGAAAAAAATCTGGATCTAAGAAGTGTTTCAAGGGGACATTCTTAAGAAATCCCTAGATCTAACGCCAAAATCGGACAAAAACCCATTGCTTGCCCTGGACTTTTACAGTGATATTCAGGTTGTTTTTCCTGGGGATTTTGGCTCCGCTCGCGGTTTTATCACCACGGGTTTTCACGGAACACTGATGATGAATATACAATGGATATATGCACTGTAATAATTTGTAAATGGATATATATATATACCTGGGGAACCCAAACACCACAAAAAAGCGGGTTGTGATCCAATAACCTAGTTATTCACCAGACATGTCACAATAACCTAGTTATCATCCAAAAAACCGGGTTTTCCTCAGAAACACCACTATTCTGGAACATGATGCTGTATCCAACGCATTTGAAGAAGTTGTGAATCCAATATAACCCATAGATACCCCAAAGTCGCGCCGGGCTCAAGCCCTTTTGGCACTGCGAGCTTGCTGGTAAATGCTCGGGATCCCAGAAGCAGCTCCTGGAGGCATGGGCAAACATGCATGGTAGCATCGATGATCATCGTGTAATTATCAGTTAACTATATTGAAAAATCGCTGACATTATAGTAGCCCATTTTTTGGCTCTGATCGCTAGCTGCTGAAAAGAAGCCATGTCAACATCTTATGTGGATTGCACCACACTTCGGGGGGAATGGGATAGTTCAGAAACTATTCGCTCCCGACTCCGTGATGGTGGGGCATTGGTGGCGCCCCTCGGCAAGGGGCAGAATGTCAACATTCAGTACTGTGTGTCCAACTACGAGTGTTTGATCCCAATCTTAGCTCAAATCGGGGCTGGAAGCCGTCTTGCAGAAATTGATGGTTTGCGGGATGCTGTTGCTGATACTTACTCAGCCAATCAACGTGAAGCAACCACAGAAATGATCGATGAGGATGCCTGGTCGATTAGGGATATGGTGTCCTTTGTCAAACGTAAGACCCAACGCCGTGAAGTCAGCTTGGTGCATCAATTTGAATTACTGGTATATTTTGTTGTTCTTTCTCCTTTGGTGGTGGTGGTAGGATTCTCATTGTGTACTTTTTTATTCTCCAGGTTATGCATGAACCTAAGGACGGAACCTTCCAGTCCCTTTGCCTCCTCATCAACCCAAGCCTTGAGGATGGGACCCTGTCACACAATCATTCAATAGAAATATGTTACCATGTTGAAGTGAAGTGTTAAAACCCTGATACAATATTTTCTTCAGCCATATGGTTTAATCGACCCAAACCCGTCTAGGAGCTGGTCAACGAGCTCAACGCCAAGAAGCTTAAGCTTAGCAAGTGCGCCGGTGAAGATCTTGACAGTGAAGGGGAAGAGGATGACCAGGATGGGGGTTACTAAAGCATATTATATGACAACCCTTGTAATTATTTTATATTATTTTAACATATTTTAACATCTTCAACCTTGTTTGATATCCACAAATGTTAAAGCCAAACCCTTTAAGTACAATCATATGACTTGCAGGATGATGAGAAGCCTGCCCCTGTGGCTGACAAGAGTGAGAACATGGCCCCAGCAGTTCCAACTTCAGCTTCCGCTCCCCCCACAAAACCAGCTGCAGATGAAGGAGAATCAATCTTGAAGGGTGACATTAAGATCAGGGCCAAGATCGCCACTCCCCAGCAAAAGGAATTCTCTGCTAGCTCCAATGCAGCCCCGGCTGCCCCAGGTGCTCCTTCTAAAGCGGTTGAGGATGTCAAGAAGCCATTGGTGGCATCGCCTGAGCAGCCAGGAGCTTCCACATGGTACTGCTGTAGCAGACCTTTTTTCATCTTGGTTCAAGAAGTTTTCAGATAACAATATGTACACCAGAAAAGTTGTTGCGTAGTTTTGTCATCAACTATCTTAATTTCTGACAGGAGCCGTTGCTCCTGCGGCCCCACCCGTCCATGATATCCAATCTGCTTTGGAAAAGAAGAAGGCTATGCTTTTGGAGAATCTCTATTTCAACCGGCATACAATTTTTCCTTTCTACACCATGGTCCTTTAGACGACATATTTATATATTTGTAATTCTCTCTAAAATGATATATGATTTACTGCCGCCACGCTTTTTGGCTGCTGAGGATTCAGGCTAAGCGCCAAGCCCTTGCGAAGCTTGCCAGCAGCCCTTGTGCACCTACGACGGGCGCATCGGCACCACCGACTGTTGGAAAGCTGGTCTTGGGTCGAGGCCAGGGTTAAAAGATAAAGTGGGTTGCAATTCGGTTAAACGTTAAAACAAACGTGAAGCCTTAAGGACTAGATATCTTTCTTTAAAATTTCAAAAGCCTACTCCTGAGGTAAAAAGTGAAAAGATTGGATCACACATGTCTAGCCGATTTGGCCAGCTACATCAATGCAGGACAGTCAATCCCCATCTTTGCGGCTGACCATGTAGACACCATGCCCATGAACGATGGTGATGCTGTGGCTGCTATTGATACATTGCCTACAAGCCCTGTTCCACCTAGCAGTCGTGCAACTGATACCCCAGACACCAAACGGGCGAAGTTCCAGAAACGCGAGATTGCCATCTCTGACGAAGCTTTGGTGCCTATTCCTGAGACGCCTTTGTCTACTGGTGACTCACCTGAAGTACCTCAAGAAGATTGCCCACCCTTGGCCACTTCGGGCTGTTCTGGGGCACCTTCTGCAGAATCTTCTCCAGAGGAAGCGCCTTCCAAGGTCCTGCGGATGAGCTTGAGTTCCAAGTATCATTTTAGATTGTGACTGTTGAAGTTGATCTCCTACTCCCCCAAAGGCTTTATCATTTTAAACTACCACTGCGTGATAGTCTAAGCTTAAAGGGGTCCTTTCAAGACATGCACGCACGCGCATGCACACATGCACACATACACGTAGTTGCAAATCGTCATACTGCCAGGTCTTCAGTCGTCGAGATCAGCTGACTCTCCGCTCTGGCCAGAAGGCTGCCAACAAGGAGAAGAAGGGCAAGGGCAAGGGCAGATCGAAGAAGGAACAGAAGAAGAAAGTCAATGGCCATGCTGGCAAGGGAACAGGCAAGAATGGGAAAGTGAAGAAGGGTGAAAGGGAGAAGAAAATTGACAAGAAACTGGTGAAGAATGCCAAAGGCAAGACTAGCAGCACGAAGGGCAGAAAGACAAAGATCTCCAAGGAGGAAAAGCTCGCAGACAAGACCAAGGATGAAGACCCCGCAGAGGAAGTTGTTTCGAACTCTCATGCAGCTCCTGCCGGCAGAAAGCGCCGAGGCAAGATTGGAAAGTTGCGATCAGTGGCAGCAGCTTCGACATCTGCTTCTTCGGCTTCCTCTCCAGTGCATTCAAAGCAGCACCAGGGCAAAGCTGACAAGGCGGCAGCAGCTCAGAAGCGCAAAGCCGAGCCAGTTTCCAAGACCCGTGGAAAGAAGCCCAGTGAGAAGAAGCCCGAAGATGAGAAGACACCCAGATCCCGTAGGCCAAAGAAATCCCGCACACTCCCCACGGATGTGGACTTGAACGAGCACAAGAAGGAGCAGCGGGAGCTTATCGATTGGATCTTGGACAGGAACATTGACTACAACTTGCCTGAGGCCGAGTTCAAGAAGAAGTGCAGGGCTGCTCTGTCCAAGTTTGAGTACTTCCGACACAACATCTACTGGACCCGATACTCTTGCGGCATGACCATGTGGGACGCAGAAGGCAAGAAGACGGATGCTACCACCTTCGCCTTTTCAAATCACCAATCCTCGACTGTGGTTGCAATTGCTTGTGCTGAGACCTTTGCGACTTAGCGGTATTCAAACCATTTTCTGACTCTTGGGTTTTATGTCGGAGGAAAACTAAAATGGAACATATTGCACGCAATATCATATCAATAAACTTGCACCGCCTTAGCATTTTCCACAATAGTCATGCCTGGTAGATTCCCATAGGTCAGCCTGCAACCTTCTGCAAACCAAGTCCCGAACAATCTAACCCATCAACCGATGCAAGGCGAAGCGTGCAGAGGCTTCGCAGGCCCAGAACGTGGAGGATTTCCATGCAGAGTTGGATCAGCTGAAGGACGTCTTGACCCGGGCTGGGATGTGTGTGCTTCACCAGCAGTTCGCTGATGATAATGATGTCGACTGAGGGTGGTTCCAACCATAGTCCATGTTCCCAACTGGGATAGCTGTATTTGGGGTTTGATGAGTGGCAATGGCCGTCATCACATGGGTGTGACACAGCTTTGAACCTAGCTTTGGGATCTTGCGGCTTAAGACTTAAGACCTTTTGCCCTCTGAAGCTCTGGAAATTCCAGAGAGCTTTGCCGACCCACTCGGTGCCAGAAACCTAAAACATAGAGAACCCTTTGAAGGTTCTGCAAATAGATTGCCAATCGAAACTACCAATCTTATCATACAATTCTATGTTTGCTTGGATGGGTTGGTACATGTTGGCGCAATATGGCGCAATAGAAATGTTTGAGATTCAGAGCTTCAATGATGGATGAGTTGGCTTGAACAAGGGAAAAATCTGACAGCTGCCCAGCGGCTTATTTTTGTCAGTGCTCTTACGGGGTCTTACTGACTGGAAAACTTTGTGACATATTTTCATCCCTTGTATAAATTTATAACCCGATATATTATATAACCTATAACCCGATTATATATTATATATTATTATCACATCACCTCTGCCCGCTCCCAAGGCCAGCATGGCTCCTCGGCGTGGCAGGCGGCCAACAATTTCACATGCTCGAAGAGCTCGGCAAAAACGTTCCAAACGCCTGGCTGGCACGTTTTTTTACAGGCGATGCAAATACCAATCACCTGTTCCAGTAGCTATCTTGTCTCCTCAAATATTTTCTTGAAGCAGCCCCAAGTGGCCAAACGCAATGTGAACTGAAGATCGGAATCTATAGGCATTTGTCGCTCAAATCCGTAGCCCAGCCAATTCCGAGAAGCTGTTGGGAAGATGGTCGATGTTAAATCACTGGTATACAGACTGTGTGCCATGAAGGCGCCCCGCGAAACTTGACACCCGATGGTTTTTTCATTGAACAAATGCGGATGTCAATTGCACACTGAAGATTCTTATCTATTGAGATTTTGAAAGCTCAGGAATTCGTATTACTGGTGCTGATGGTCATTTGGACCGAAGATCTCTATGACCTTACTGAGGTGGGGTCTCTAATTACTTAAACTATTTTTCAGGTTTTGTACATGCCACCACCGCCTCAACATCCCTTTTGCCCATCTCCGGCACCTGCGAGGAGTACCAATGGCTGGAATTTTTCGCTGGCAATGCTGCTTGCACCACCTTTGCCAGGCTCAAAGGCTTCCGTGGATGCAAGTTTGATCTAAAATACCATGTTGAGAACCAGATGCGCACAAGAAAGACAAACTACATGGATGTGAACTCCGACAGTGGTTTCATGCCGTTTGGTAGCAAACCAGTCTACTGTAAGAGGGCTCACTGGCAAAAATAAATATTTCTTGACATGTTATTTTAGTAAGACAATTTGAGTTCACCATTGCTGTAAGATGCGGAATGCTGCCATCCCTTTATTCCCATGGTTATGGTATCACATCACATGACTGTCACAAAGGTTGCTAGATTCAAGTGATAGGTGTCCTTAGTGCTGCCCGTTACCAACGTTAGAAGTCAAAAAACTGATGTTATTTTTATCCTCGGGTATCCCTGATGTTATTTTTATCCTCGGGTATCCAGACAAAACAATCAGGGACCCTTGCCCCTGATGAACTAAGACTATGCATCATCTTGTTGTTGAAGGGGCGCGTCCACGATTTCGTCTCTTGGTGGGCCATAAAATGCTCTAGCTGGACCCAAGTTAATGTTGGTACCAGTGCCCGTGCAGCTTGTGCCAGCCTTGGTGACCTTCTGAAAGCCAGCGTCCTGGAAGCCAACAAGATGCTGGAAAGGACTGGGTTGGCTGGGGCCTGGTGGTGTGAGTCAGGGTTCCAGATTTTATCGATTGAATCAAGTATCTATAGAGGGTTCACCCAAAATCAAAATTCAATATGTATTTGTCCTTTCCAACTACTAGTACTTGGCTAGTTGGCCCATGCAAGTCCACCCGTAGACAGCAGTTGGAGTTCCTGGCCCGTAGGATTTGCCTCTTACTGATGCTTACTTCATGCCTGGATGGAGCTTGGGTACTAGAACAGCCCAATGGAAGCCTGTTGGAGTTCTATCCAACTTTTCGTTGGGTGATCACTCGGCTGATTGAAGCTTCCGGGATCCAATCAGTGTGATGCCCAGTTATTTCCATTATGACAATTATGATTTTAGCTTGGTGCAGCCACAGTAGCAAGGATATGTCTCAACCTTCTTCCAATGTTTTGTCCATATGTGGCTGAGGTTGCGCGGATTAGCTGGTGGATGTCGGCGTTTGGCTCGGAGACAGCCAAACCACAGTATGCATATTCAAACTCACCGGCTATCAGGAAGTTGCATCACTTTGGAAACAGCAGTTCGAAGGTGAAAAAGAACCACTTAAAAGTTGAAACATGCCGTCAGTACCAAAACAAAGAAGGAAAAGCTTGTTACACGGGAACACGGCAACTGAAAGCTACTGAGATACTTGATGCGAGCAATTGCATTATCTTTTTTATTTCTGCATGTATATATGAAGACTATTCATGCATGGCTATAGTTTTCCCCGAGTTTCCATCACAAAAATGCCTTTCCCGCCGCCGCTGCCCAGGATATATCCTGATCCATTCGGAGAAGCAGTGGCAAATCTCATCGATGACCTCAAGCTGCACAAGTTCGGGATTCCAAACCCTCCTGGTCCTTTACCGGATCCTGTGGTGTCCTTTAAGGACACTGAATCAATGAAAGGAAGCGGTCTTTTTGACTATGCTGGCTTAGAGTCAGTGTACAAATACCTTCGAAAGGGGACCAATCTCCATATTCCCAAAGAATGGGAAGGATTAGTTCCGAACTCAATTTAGATTTGGGAGCCTCGCAGGTTCAATTCAAACTGAGAAGAACCGGGTGGGCCATTCAACCTGGACTTCCTTTGCTAAAGGGGTTTGAAATAATTCGATGAATTGGGATATATACCAAAAATCTTGGCTGAACTGTTTTTTTAAAGAAATTCACAGATTTTAAGTGGGGGAAAAGCAGGAACCCGTACGAACCCCATAGGAACACCGTAAAATCCCGTAGGAACCCCGTAGGAACACCGTAAAACATCGTCCAAAACCCGTAGAAACACCATAAACCACTAAAAACCAGGTTTTTGGCCACCCGTGCGTAACCCGTGCGAACCCCATAATCTCCCATGCGTAACCCATAAAAACCCGTAATGCAAAACCTGTTTTTTTTCTATGCCTGGCTCCCCACTTTTTGGCGTGTCCAAACTGATCCGGCGCGCCAGTCTTTAATTCGGACAGCTGTTGTAGCAGCTCTGAATGCCATTTCGATTTGGATCTAATGGGATTGAGGTCCAAAAAGTATTGTTGAACAGTATGTCGAATAATCCTACGATCAGTTTATCAATCAGTTTATCGATCAGTTTATCGAACAGTTTGTCGAACAGTTTGTCGAACAGTTTGTCGCACAGCATTCTGCTTGGATTGCATAGAATATGGCATAGAATCATCAGCAACATTTAGCAACATATTGTGATTTTTCAGTCTTACAATCTTAGCTGTGGAAGTGCTCGAGCATAGGGGTGCCAGCACATTTTCTTTTTTCACAGCATGTCTACTGGTTGGAGCTGCGGGACGCTAGAAGAAGGTTACAAGGCTGTTGTGGGAGAAGAAGAAAGCGAACGCCTCAAAGCCGAAGAAGAATCTATTCTCAAAGAAATTCAGGACTGGTTATATAATCATAAACCTCTTTGTGATTTTAAATTCAACTTTGTATCATGTCCCATGCTGGTCCCGCTTTTCTGCTTTCCAGGAACTTGAGCTGCAGCAAGCTGCAGACCCAGATCCATCTGAGTTTCCACACTTATGATATTTGCAACCCTTGCCTCATTTGAAACGGCAGCTACGCCGGTCACCCAGGCCAGTGCTGATACTTTGCTGGGGAGTCCCGAAGTCTTGAAAGAGTGCGACAAGAAGGTTCAACCATGTTTTCAAATGCATTTTGTTTTCAATGAAAAATGAACGCAACTTCTGGTGTCCCAAACTTCGATATAAAACCTATGTCAATTCGATGGTTTGTGAAGGAGCCTGATGAGCCGCCTGCTGTGCCTTCAGACGTGGAGGCATGTTTATAATTAGAATTTCCTCATACTGTAGCATTGTCCCTCTTTGATTTATCGTGTCAACATCCACACTTGAACATCAAAATAATTTCACTTCCAGTCCATCAATGCCTGTCAGGCTGGAGACAATGGTGAAGCTAATGGTGCTGATGGTGATGAAGCTAATGGTGCTTCGGAGTCCCAGGAAAAGCCATGTCAGGCTGCAGCCCCCCCGACAAAAAGGCCACGTAGGGTACTCTCCAGACGTGTGCCTAGGCTAGAACTTGTATATAATTACAACTACAACAGGGTTGATGTAGAGAACACGTGTGAAGGCCCATGTCAAAGCATTTGCATTCAAGTAACTTATAGGAAGGCTATCTAATGCATGCCTTGCCCCTGCTAAGGAGCTCCTCAGGAATGCGGCCAAAGCACGCATCCGCCGGATGATCGCTGAGAAGAAGCATCGCACGGACCTGGCCGTCCCACCCATCGTGCGGGAACAATGGGAGAAGGGTACCCGCGAGAAGGATGAGATGGCCCAGCTGTTGCAAGATACCAACTGGGATAAGGACCTACAACTTACAA